AGAGCAATGTCTGGGCTACACCAGTGCAAGAGAGCGATCCAGCTCTATTGTATGAGGTACGGCTCGAATTTTTTTGGACGGAGTAGGCTGCACTGTCACGTTGAAGACGGACTGTGCGGACGAATTTTTCCCTCTGATCGATGGTTCGCTTCAGATCTGCTTTGCGCAGTAGGTGCCTGAGGAAGCAGCTTCTTCACCCAGCAGTTTCACGACCCGCAGCTCCCTCAAATCTGAGTTCGCAGGTAACCCAAACCTCACTCCGTCATCAGAACTGTAGGCTCCCGCTTTGAAGCATTAGCGTCGTGAAACGTTGTCCAATAATTGAGGGCATCGTCCTTATTCAGCTCCATTATTTTGGCATCTGCAGCTATCATGCTGGCGTCAGGTGGTGGAAGAAAGAGTTTGAGGAAGCGCTTGGAGGGGTCGGTGCCGATGGTAGCGGATAAAATCCTTGTCCATATTGCAGAAGAAGAAGAAGCAGGAGTCAAGCGAGTGGTACTAATAGAAAGATCACTCCTTGATGTATAAATGCTCAAACATCTTCAAGTAATAGCCAAGTATTTTGAGTTGAAAAAAGTGTGACCGAACTTCCCCGCCAACCTAATATTCCACCATTCCACAAGGAGATCATCGTCGATGTGAAAGGGACGGGCAGGAAGATGTTCGACGAGGTGCCCTTCGCCCTTCATCGCCCAAACTCTTTAGAACCGCTCGGCCTCGACTGGAATGGGAACACAAGGGAATGAAGAGCGACGGCTGGCAACCACACATTTCCACTTTGCTGACGACATCATGCTAACGGGGTATGTAGCAACAGAATCGTCCAGTGCAGCCGGTGGGCGTGGCCTGCGGCATATTTGCTGGTTACTAGTGGAATATCCCAGTCTGGGACAACTGTCATCTTGTTCTGTGTTGGACAGAGACACGACAACAATTGTGTCAAGATGAAAATATCTCACCAGAAGCATAGACACCTTCAGGTTAAGTTGAAACATGCGGCCACGCCTACCCGATCTCAGGGATTTCGAGTATAGTTGCGGCGAGGAGACGAAACGTGCGTCTGGCCGTTTGAACAGGGTTATTGAAGGGACGGTGAAGATTGATATCACCCAGGATCGAGTCTTGTGTTCAGATACGGTTACGTTTTCAGTCAGAGAATGGAAAAGTTCAATTAGAGCATGAAATTCATTGGGGTCTTTAACATTTGCTCTGGTGGGTCATCTTTTACAGCAGCTCACAGGAAAACTTGGCCATCCATCTATTAAATATTGACGCGCGACTGCGCAAATCATGTGAACCACATAAACATAGGGAGAATCACGGCCTTATCTGATTTCTTTTGTATCTGTTTATTTCCTGAAGTTGCGTTTATGGAACCGCCAAACAATTGTGTGTTACTATCAAGAAAAACATCATTAGATTTTCAATCATTGATGAAACCTGCTAAATGTTGCGGATGTACGCTGTAGTAAATCATTTGCTCCAGTCGCAAAGCTATCGGCTAGCAAATGCACGTAAG